AATTCTCGTCTACCATACGACAGACCTCGACCTAAAAGCTGGCTTTACCAAATTTCACCATGCAACGAGACACAAAATCAAGGTCGCAAGAAGATGCGTTGACGATTGCGTAACACAAATCTACAGTTAAAACTAAAAGGAAGATTTGGTTTTGGGTAGAAACTATTTATGAATCCCTTTAAAAAATCTAAATCAGGTGATTCTTGCAAACCCAACCAACCCTGACAAATTGCTGTATATAAGCGGTAAACCTTTGACTCCTCCATGAAGATCAAACCCTATCGGTTGTTTACTTGGATCACACTTTTTTTCTCCTTTTGCTATTTTTCGACTCATTTGCTTATAAAGCATGAAAATGCCTTAACAAAACACTTTTCCCCTTCACGCATGTTCACTGCTGCGTACCTGTTTTGGCTTTGGTTGTTCTGCTCACTACTGGATAAATGATTAATTAGACGATATTGTGTGAAAAACCTTGGCATTAATATCTAATAGAATATATGAAGACCAAGATGTTGTTGTCTCTGTTATGGTCGCAGTCTCCTCTCGATTTATAGAAGTGGGTTGGCCTCGTTGTCGATTTCGGAAGTAACCCCATCCGATCTCTAAAAGCATGGATTCGAGAATAAGAAGGAAATGATGCAGAATACGATGTTGGTAACGCAATATTGCGAAAAGCTGTACCTAAAGGAATCAAGAAGGGCAACACTCGCTGCGCCGACAAGGTTCTCTTTTTACAGCCATGGCCCAAATACGGAGAAGGGATCAAAGAGGATTGTAGCCATGCAAACGACTACATCGCTATGTCCTTCATACCTTCGAATGAAACAGCAACAATTTAACATGAAAACCGGCCATAATGAAACAATTTGGCCACAAACATAAAAAAATACAAGGTGGAAATATTGCATGCTTCAGGTCAGGTCAGATTAACGTGAGGAGAAGCAATAAAACATAAAGCAAGTAGATCTGCAGGAATAAGGTTACAATTGCAAAGACAAGGTAGATTTTTCTGGTTTTACACAAAAACTAAGAACTAGATGAGCAGTTTGTATATGCCATATCCATTTGTGGGTGCAAATGGATGGACTTTTTTCTCAAATGTTTATAATAGCATTCTGTATTCATAGCTCCGAGTGACATTAAGTCACCCTTTGGTCCAGAATCTCTAAGTAATGTTTGTAAGTTGGCTTTCGAGACGGCCAATATATCACCCTATTTCGTTTTTAAGGTGATGAACGACTTATAGTAGAATTTTCTCAAAATGATTTGAGTATAGCTGGCGTTTCCATTGAATTTCACATCCAAGCCGGAGTGGACTTCAGTTTAGACCTCGAATTAGTCATAACAGCACCCCCAGCGGGACTCGAACCATGGAAGTGCAGCGTACAATCTCGACACATTAACCACTACGCCACATTTCCACAAATTCCCTTGGGTCACAGAACAGGTATAAATTGTAAGATAGACCAGGCATTTTTCAGTATCACACTGTTTGGTGAGATTGTCGAGGAAGCAAAGTTATATTTGCTATATCAGTGGATTACATTAGTTATTTTTCATTTGTAAGTAAGCTCATTAAAGAGTCTTCCTTGAAACTAACATGGCAATGTGACGTAGTGATTTTCGTGTCGAGATTATAAGTTGTACTGTCATGGTTAGAGTCCCGCCAGGGTGTTGATAAGACCTACGCGGAGTCGAAGCTGTAATCCACCCTGGATGACAATTATTTTAGGGAAAGAAAGGCCATATGAAATTCAATGAAATGACATACCTACTGATATGATTGTGGGAAAATTGAACTATCAGTACTTCATCAATTTAAACGGAATAGAGTGAACATATCTCATATCTCCGATGAACAACTTTTGGTAAGATCCAGGAAGCTATCCAGGTTCTAGCAGTTAGTATAAAGGAGCTCTAAGAAGAAGTTTATTTTCAAGCTTAATTGTTGGACATACACATCATCGTTAATACCGATTTTTATAAATAGACTTAGGGACTTGCAATGTGAGCTTGTTTAGCACCCAGTTGGGCTAACAATTGCACATCAAAAATTGTGGAAAGCTTCACGTAAGAGGTAAGAATGACGCGAAAAATGTTATTTATACATACAAATAACCAATTCTATTTGTCGGCATGTTAAAGACAGCTTCATGTTCGTCAGTAGCCGCCATGAAATACTTGAAATAGTAAAGAAAATAGTTTACCATATTTGGATGTTTCGGTTATTATGGAGTATTTACTCTGAAATTTATTTCCAATCATAATTTCGAAACAAAAATTGGCATTTTAAAATCAGTGACTTTTAAGAGAACAAAATTAGCTGATAGAGAACATTGAGCTAAGGCATTTGGTAGGCTCCAACATACATAGCTTGAGAATAATTATTCTTCTGAAGCTGATTTAAAATAACGGTAGATTAATAAGGGATAAAAATGTATATAGAGATTAGTTTATAAGAGATGAAGAGCCATATAACTCTGCTCATGTCCCGACTGCTCTCGTGTCCTCTGTCAAAAAGGATAGGAAAACTGGTTGGAAAGTAGTGAATACAAACTGAGATCAAGACAACTATCCATTTGCATTGGATAAGCATTCCTCTCGAGAGAAATGTAACCCCCTATCTCGATCAGGCTGCAAAATATGCCCTGTTCATGTGATCAACGCCCAGTTTGTCGAAGGGGGTCAAACAATCGGAGATAGCTTGACACGACCCAGAAAATGGATGAGACAAAATGGTCTCAAAAGTATCGTTTTGCTGATTGCTGTATTTGTACTGGCAAATGCATCGAATGCAAGAATGGAGGTTCAAAGTTAAGCGAAAACTGTTTAGGCCTTATAAATAGACTTAAGAATAGAGAAAGGTGGGCCGCAATTTTAATAAGGATCATACTTTCTAAACATCTCAGCTCATATAACAAGGTTCATCAACCCAGCTAGGCATTTGTCCAGCATTACACACTCGGAATGATAGTCAAAAAGGGCATTTAAGCCTTAATGACCGGAGACAGATGTAACGATCTGTCATAATTACCTGGAAATAAGACAAACTAAAATTTGCTATCGACGATATTACTTATTTTTCGTATTCTAGTGCGAAAATGAACATAGCTCATGTATTTAGTTCACTGGTGGTCAATAAAACATAATCAAAAGGAAAAAAAATAAGTAAAATGAGATGTATTCATCCTATTTCGTTTAAGGTGATGAAGGTGATGGAAACGTCAGGTCTACTCATGGCATTATAGGAAAATTTAACTAGCAATCCCATAAACGAAATTGGGTGAACACAGCTCATATGTCTAATTCACCGATAATCTCGAAAGCCTACTCGAAAGGAAAAATTAAGTAACGTCGTCGATTGCTATGGGAAATATAAGTTTAATTCATCGAAAATCCCACCATAAATTGTGATACGGTAAAATGCCTGGATTTCCTTGAAATTTACATCTGGACTGTGACTCAAGAGCAATCGTGGCAATGTGGGGTAGTGAATAATTTGTGAGATTTAATGAAAACGTCATTTATTCTTGTTAGACTAGGCCAAAGAAAACCATTTCCTTACAGTCGAGGTGAGCTCCCATCCGATTGTGTTGGGATAACTTTATTTCCGCATGAAATCGCCCAAATAGCCGAGAT